TGGCATTGCAAGGGATGGAGGTAGCACGGGGAAGGGGAGGGGACATGGTAGGGGATGGGTGGTGGCGGGGTAGGAGGAGTGAGGAGAGGCATGGCAGAGGTGTGGGTGGTGGCGTGGCAGAGGCGGGAAGGGGGAGGGTGGAGCTGGCGTGGCAGGGACGAGGAAGTGGAGAGGTCATGGCAGAGGGGTGGGTGGTGGTGGGGGTGGGGGAGGGTGGTGGGGCGTGGCAGAGGGGTGGGTGGCGGGGGGGGAGGGTGGCAGGGCGTGGCAGAGTTGTGGGGATGGTATGCATATATATAAGATATATATGTACTGTCATAATTTGTATAATGTAGTAGTTTGACGAGAATTCAGCTGAGTTTCTTGATAACCTGCCACACATACGTGTCTATCCACTTTAGGGGTGTTTGCTTGTTCCGCTCGTGTACAGGTGGCACTGCGATCGCACGTAAACCACGTTCGCTTGTTTCTCGCAGGTCACGAGAAGAAGCTCATGCTTGCGGTCAGGCAGCTCAAGGACATCAAGTCCGGCAAGGTCAAGCGCGCGACCTCTGCCGCTGCCGCCGCCGCGGACCGCCCGATGTCGTGCGAGATCCTCACCACGTCGCTGCCCCCTGGTGAGCAATCCCAGCGACGATTCGCCGTCGTCCTATCGTCGTTGTTGTTACGCAGGAGCGTTGTCGTTATATTATCCGTTTCATGAGTCTCAGACGCCATCTTGAAACTGGGATGCTTATTCACAGATTCACAGTCAGATTTCGTCTTTGATTAGGTCTTCATCAGCAGACCTCTACTGTCAGCTTCGGACAATATTTCCAAATGTTTATTTGAAAGCAAGTTTTCGATGTATGGCCTTTAAAGGGTACTACGGTCATACGATTTTCTATGGTAAAATATTTTTTTTTTAATTTTAATTTTTTTTATTAAAAGTGTTAAGACTAATGGGAATAAACAAATCGTAATTCTTACTGATAGATTGGGTTTCTCAATATGTTAAAAATTCAAAAAACTGGGAAGATTTTGAATTAATGTTTTCAACATTATTGCTTGCTATGGGCTATGTATGGGTCACGGAGTGTTATGAATTCCATCAACATTTTAAAGATAGCAAGTATATGCAGCAATATTAACATAAATGTGAAGCAAATTTATTATGATTTTGTGAAAGTGGAAATTTATCTTTTTATTTTTTTACTATTTACGGTGAAGTAATCATTTAATATCATCAACACAATGATGGGAAGTTTTTCCACACTCTATCTCTTTTTCTGAGTGCTACAGCAGATAGACGCGTAGTGTACCATTTTTCAAGTCTTTGGTAAATGACCGGCCGGCATGTTAAGCAAGCCCGATTCGATGCGAGGCGAGCACTTACTCATTGGGCCATCCGGTGCGGTTTGAGCTTGATGCTTTGATGGGCCATTGATTTTAATTTATACTTCGAAATTTGTTTCGATTGCAATGATTGACTAGTTAACGTGTGTGAATTTAATAATCGTTTTTTTTTATATCTTTTTTTATTCTTATTGCATCTATTCACCTTGACCTTCAGATTGCAACCATGTTCTCGTGACCCCATAGTGTTAACTTATTTGGTTCATTATATTATGCTCTTATGCATAATTATAATATGCTACTTATCCGCATATCTTACAACTTAAATCACCAATTTCACCATTGCACATCCTTTTATAATAGAGAATGAGAATTGTCGAGTCAGTGAGAAGAAAAACATAGGTGCGAAACATCTCACGTTGTTTACGTCCGTTGCCATAGTTCCCGGCTCGGCGCGTCTGTCCCAGCGATGGCTGTCGGCATCCACGTACTCGACTGAAGGAGATCACAGATCTTCGCGAAGGCGAGAACATCCGTGTCGCATGCGAGAGACCTAAGTTCACGCAGTTCGCACGTTCTCAGCGTCTGCGCCGAGGATGGCTTTGGTGTTTCACAAGCGATGCTCGCTAGAGGTGAGTAGAGGGTGAGCGGGCGAGAGGAGGGGCAGGAGGTGAGGCAGGGAGAAGCGGGAGGAAAGGGAGGGTGTTGGAGAGCGAAGGGGGAGGGGAGGAGGAAGGTGTTGGGGAGGAGGAGGAGCGGGAGGAGGTGTTGGGGCAGGAAGGAGGAGGGGGAGGGTAGGGATTGGGGAGGGAAGGCGCGGGGGGAGGGAGGTGTTGGGGAGGCAGGAGGAGGGAGAGGAAGGGATGTTGGGAGGAAAGGGATGACGGGAGATGAAGGAGGATGTTGGGAGGAAGGAGGAGGGCAGAGGCGGGACGGCTGTTTGGGATGAGGGGGGGCAGGAGGAGGTGTTGGGGAGGAATGGGGGAGGGGGGGTAGTAGTGGGTGGGGAGGAA